TTTTTTTTTTAGGTTTAAATGGTTTGTTTTTTTTTTTTTTTTTTTTTTGCAAAGTTTGTTTTAGATCCCAACAATGCTTTTTCTTCTTGTCTTCAGTCTCTTTTATGTAGTCAGTCAATTGATATAACTTCAGTTCTGCCTGTCTTGGAGCCTCTGACGGAGGCTGGCAACGTTGGCCTCGCCATCCGTGTCCTCTGCAGAACCCGTCTGGGAAAGTATGAGGAAGCCATTGAGCAGCTTCTCGAAAAGTGTCCTGATGTAGCTGTGACCTACGCTCAGCACGAGCTGAAAGATGACAGTCGGGTGAGCTACTTTCATTAAAGTTGTTCGGTTTTGTTGTTTTGTGGTTTGTTTTTTGTTTGTTTTTTTTTTTCCTAACTAAAATGCTATTGTGTATAGATTGACTCTGGATGGATCAAATAGCCCAGCTTTCAGACAAAGTAAATTGCTTAGTAAATAGCTTGCTTTGAACCTCTTGCTTGGCATTTAAATTCTGTAACTCAGGCTCTGCTAATTTTAATGGATTTCCCTCCCTCCAGTTTCTCCTGTGACTTTTTGTATTCACTCTAGTAAATTGAAAGCATCGTCTTTTCAGAAGGCACAGTGCCTCAGAAAAGGGAGAGTTATACGTTCCCTTTTCCACTGTGAATTAAAAACTAGATAGTTCCTCGCTTATCACTGTTCTAAATGGTTTGACGCTGCAGTATAACGTGAAATTTTAGTTGTAAGCTAATAGATAAGAGAACATGGTCCTTCAAATAAAGTCACAAAAATATGTTCCTGCTGCGTTCTAGTGGCATCTTCTGACCCTATAACATCAGAACAATACTGGTGCAGTAGTGGAAAAGATTATGTTCTTTATGTCCTATTTTCCCCTTACACCTCTATACAGTTTTAATTTTGGAGTTGATTTTATTGCAGTGTTCCATGAGTAAAGGAGTTTACTTCCATTGCCCATCACAGCTACTCAATTAATTGTACTCAGTTTTGCTGGCCAGAGTCACCAAAGGTGATCATCTGCCAGATGGATGTACTGGAACCCTGTTCAAAACCAGATTTGTGCTTTTTATTCAGATCTGAAAATAGTTTGACTGTTTGGACGTTAGAGTTGAAGGTGAGGCTGCAGTACTGAGTGTGCACACAGGTGGAAGAAAACGGATGCCACGTTTAAAAAGGGAAAGAAATCTCTTCCTTTCTCTTCGTTCTTATCAACAAAATTACACACATAACTTACTGCTACAGCTGGTGGAAGTAGACAGAGTAGGTCAGGAGACAAAGCAGTGTTGCTGTGGTAGTGCTGTTCACCACTTTGCTTGGAGCTGTTTGGAGGCAAAATCCTTAATCTTCTGACTCCATTACTGTTGTTGATTATGCGATTTTTTTTCTTTTATATACTTTTATCTATAGAAGGCACTAGGGGGCACTGTGTAAAAATTTTCGAGTATAAAAAGATTGCACTGAAAATTGAAACTACAACGTGCAAAACCACTGCATTTCAGGGCATTATATAAATTAATTATTGAGTTCATCATAACCTACCTGTATTTGTACACATCTGAGCGTAGTTCAGTGTATTTTTAGTATCTTCTTTTGTACTTCTAATTGCAGTCCTTGTTAATTTACACTTTTGTTGTGGGTTTTTGTGGATTAGGCTGTGTGGTGGAACAAGCTGCTTCCTGAGCTTTGCAAGAGAGCCAGACTGACTGGAAACGACTGCCCTGTTCTTATTTCATCTCTGAAAGGTAAATCAATCGATTGCAACTCAACTCCAGAAGCCTTTGTACGTCATTTAACGTTCTAAATACTGCTCAGGCGAAGGACTACTGATGTGGTAATTCAGGAAAAAAAGGGGACTTTTTCCTATGGTTAAAGCTAATGCAGCCCAGCAGGCTTTCCAGTCACTAGCACAGGATTTTGCAAGGTACAGTCTGGTTCTTGGAGCATATAAAAATCATGATTCATTTTGTATTGAAAACAGGTAAATTGTGGGATTGTGTAATAGTGGGAATTCCTCTATAAGTCAGGAATAGATGCCATTAAAAAATCTTACTAAATAGAACTAACAGATAGGAATTGGGTTTTTTTTTTAGGCTAAATGACTTTAAGGTTTTAAGCAATGACAGCTTAACAGGCTATTATTGATAATCCAGTGGGTGTTTAAGTCTGTATTGATGATTAGGTCATAGACTGAAAAAAACCACAATATGTTACGACTAGAAGTAGAGAAACCAACCCTGGAAGTTGATCTAGTCCTGTTACAAGTTTGTAGGAAGTCCATCATGTTCTGTATAGCTGAGGGACCAGTATGTTTGTTTTGAGAGAATAAGAAGATTGAATAAAGCCTATATATATTTTTAAAACTGCCAATGTAATGCCCAAGGGTAGGAAAGCAGCATCACAGGGTTGCATTGTGCAGCACAGTTGCCGGGCTCTTGTCATAAAGTTCCAGTTTCTAGTGCTAGCGTTTTTTTTCTTTTGAAATGTTGTTTTCATGCAGTAACTCTGCTATAATCGCTTAAGACCATAATGTTAAACAGCTTGGTTGGAGACACTGCTCACAGAACATCCCATTTTACAGATGTGCTGAGTTACAGTACTAGTATAGATTTCTAGTGCTTCCTTTGCATTTGATACGAAACGTGAAGTACTAGATCAGACTTCACAAGCATCAGTGCCACAGGTAGATCTGAGTCAAGACAGAGGTATGGTTTTAATCTAAGACATAATTTCATTTTACTTCTGAGATTTCCTATGGTTGTATTTGCTCCTGAATGGGTGTGTCTCAAATTTCATTACAGTTGCAATATTTAGATAATTGCTAATTGAAGTCATCAAATTATGTTGTTAATAGTTTTTTGTTTCCTTTTTCTAAAAGCAAAATATCTGAAAAAGAGATTTTTTTAAATTTTTTTTTTTCTCTCCCTGGCTCTGAGCAGAAACTTTATCAGTTGTTGCAATGGAACTGGAACTAAGGGATTTCCTCAGTCTTCTACCAGAGGATGGAACTGCAGCATTTTTCCTGCCACATCTGCTTCAGTGCAGCCAGAGGAAGCTGCTGACCTAAGCCAAGGAAAGCCTCCTGTGCACTCAAATACAAAGAATGTGCTGGAATGGAAAAGTAAATGGAACAAACAGTAGAACTACCTGTAAGGTACCATGGGACTCCCCTCACGTTCATCGCCTTATTTCTCAGTTGGACTCTTATGACAACTGTTGAATGGCAGCTGTTGTCCAGGCAAAGCCTCTGTTTTGAGGGTAATACTGTTACACTCCCACAGAGTCAGCAGACCAGGACTGGACGGTGGTTGGACTGGTAAAAGCACGGCTATTCAGCTGTTGGGGAGGGTCCCCTCAATTACTCAATCAGGGTGAATTTAGGGCCAAGCAGAGAGTGATGGGGCGTGCAGTGTTCACTGAGAGTGAGGCAGGGAGCTGGTCTGGGGTCTGTGTTAGCTGGTGGGAGCACTGACCTGGGAAGTTTACACTCCGGCATGTGCCTGAGGGTAGGAGTGAGAGTGCCTTCTGCTTCCAAGGGGCACTGGGCCCCACCTATATCCCCTTGAATTCCAGCTGGCAAAACCAGTCAGCTGCTTTGTCGTCTTAATTACATACCCATGCAAGTGTTACACTGAAAATGTTTTCGTTTAGCAGGTCACAAAAGGCCATAAATCAAAGAGAGACAGAAGTGTTCCCAAGGGGAGTGGAAGGCACAGACTTCTGCTTGCTTGCTGTTTTCTGTTTTCTTTCTTTTCCTGTTGTGCTCAGGCAGTAGACAAGTACTTGAAGTATGACTGGGTCAGAAATCCAGCTGAGAACTCTTTCTTCTAGGTTTTTTTTTGGCAAGCATCTCAGGTACTTGTACACACACGTGCTGGTGGGGGTTTTTTTGGAGAAAATACCCTTCTGTTCCTTCAGCTGGAATTCAATCATAATAAACTGTCAAAATGTTTATGACCTTCTCATGAAAGCAGTTTGGTTCTTTGAGAATCTACCACAAATAAAATGATGACTCCATGATACCGTAACCATCTAAAGGCCTAATTAGCTGACATTGACTCTATCAAATCCATTTTCACTGAAGCTATAATGTTACTTAATCCTGTAGAAGTGAGTCAGAAGAGATCATCTACATTGCAAATAAAATATATATTTTTTAAAAAAGAGAGAAAGAAAAAAATTAACTTACATAGGCAGGATTCCTGCTACAGCTAAAATCAATGATCTAATTTACTAGCAGGGGTTATGCTGGTTTCAGTAGAGTCTTTCTACCGTAAAAACGCCAAAGCAATTTAGACTTGTTACAGAGAAGCAACTTCCTTTGTCCTGGTAGCTGTAAAGCCCAGGTTTTGCTTTGCCTGCCTGTCTCTCATGTCCTTCCCTCGTTGGACACAGGTCTAACCTATGTGGCGTCGGGCTATTAAACCATAACTGGATGGCACGACGAAACCTGCTCTTACTGCTTTCATTTTTGACCAGCATCAGTCATGCACTAATACTGCTGCTTAATTTGCCTGGGTCTGCACTACACAACCAACAGCAAAAGGAGATTCAGAGGAAAGCTCTCAGGTGTAGTAATCACCAAATTCTGTCCTTCACTGTCTGAATTTCATCAGGCTTGTTTCAGCATAACTTTGTCTGTCTTGTAATTATTTTCATAACAGAAAAACAAAAATACCTTGTGCAACTGTGATCCCACAGCTATTTCGTCTTTTAAATTCACTGTCTTGAAAGATGCTACTGGATAAAATTTTAAAACTATTTTTTTAGTTGTTCAGTTATATGACAGTAGATATACTGTAAGTGTGAACCTATGGATAAAGTGATAACAAAATTTCTATTTTCCAAACAATAACTACTAACATACCCAACTCCTAAATTGTGACAGCAGGTACCTAAAATCTTGCTCTTACACATAGTTATTTACAAACTTTAAAAAAGAAAAGGAAATTATGTTTCATTTGTCTCTTCTGTGTTCCTCAGCAGTTAAATAACATGCATTGGGCATTGCCTAGAATTTGTTTACCTTGCAAGATACTATTTTTATTAAGAGAAAAAGATACTTAGAAGCTGATACTTATATCCGTTCATCTGTCTCAGTCTATGGCCCTTTTGTTAGCCGTGAGCCACCAAATGAAATCTTCCAAAACCAGAGGTGGAGGTCCAGGCGATAGTATTTCTTAAGAAATGCTTCACCGAAGGGAGTCCTTGGAGAATTACTGTGGTAAAATGTTTTCATTCTCGTGTGCTTGCTGTACTGTTACACTTCAACTGATTGAATAATCTCAGGAACAAAGAGTGTTTGTCTGTAAGGGGGAAAATAGCTTTTGTTACACATATTTCATCAAAAGAATATTCTATGCATATGGACAACAGAGTCCAAAATAAGAGCAATGGATCTCAGTACCTTCTAGACACTGTGAATTAGATTTAAAAACAGCTTTAAAATGCACTTCAGATGTCAGATTATGAGAAATCCAACACACTGCTTTCTACAAGCTAAGAGTACACAGAAAGAGATGCAGAAACAGACTTTAAGTCAACTTTTTTTATTATCTGTGCAAGTTTGGCCCAATGTATTCTCTAAGTCAGAATGGTTTATAAAATGGAACTAGATTGTGTTTAACATTCTAGTCTGTGTTTTTAGTATAGATAAACATGTACATTATATAGTTGTGTATCTATATACACATACACACATTTTGAAGTGTTCTGTCAATTAGCTATAATGCACACCTGTTATGCTCTGTCTTTTTGAGTGCAGGCAAGTGTTGCTTTTAAAATTGTATTGATTTGGTAGAAACAAGAACTTCCAAAGTTTTTCAATTTTTTTTCCACAGGTACTAGTGCTAAAGTGAGGTAATTGTATCTGTAAAGCTAAAACATGTCCTTTAGAAATAAAACACTATTTTAGTTTTTCAATAGTTTAACTATTAGGGATAATGACTTCAACTTTATTTACAAGCTGTTCTTTTTGTTTTTAATGAAAAATGAGAGGGAGCCTGGCACTTCTTGGGTACAGAAATACCGTGTCTCATGAAAAATTAAAAAAAAGTCTGTCATTTTAATGTCATTGACGGGAAGCTGAGGCAATAGTCACTTAACATCCAGTCCTTCAGCTACTTCTGTTTTCTGTGCAGCAGCGCTGAGGCAAGTATGATGGATGCCTTGCAGCGTTCTAGCCTCCAGCCATCAATATTACAATATGAAACATTGCTGGATGCCTGAACTGGTTCTGAGTACTCTGGCCTGTCTGTGAGCCCCATTCTGTGTCTTTAAACATAATAAAGATTACTGAGATGGATAAGCTCCTACCTTCCTTGGGGAGCACGGTGTAGGTTGCTTCCATGCCCGCGTGGATGTGGTCAGTGACATGGCAGTGCAGTAGCCAAGTTCCAGGGTTCTGCGGGGTCATTTCCACAGTCTGAAATGTCCCAGGGAACAGATCAAAGACATCTGCCCGGTAAACCCCTGTTTGCTTCAGGAAAAAAACAAACAATGGTTAAACAGCGTGACATTACAAGATGGCAGTAATTTAAGCTACGTTTTATGTGTATTCCCACCAAACTTTTTAATCACAGTTGAGTGAAAAGACTTCTACTGTATGTCATTTTTACAGAAGCATCACTTGGTACATCCACTTCATGCTTAAAAGTTTAATAAACTAGCAGCTCAGTGGAAATGAAGGAAGACTACAGCTGTTGTCTTACCACAACTGTGAAAATTCACAGCTACCTTGTCAAAGCAACGTGTGAGGCTACTGGTGAGCAAATGCTACTCCTCTTGGATGTTGATGAAAAACAGGTTTGGGGCACCAAAACTCTATGGTCAAATTACAAGTCCTGCTTAATATTGTTATATCTCACTTTTCAGAGATTACAAACCTTTGTATTTGATTTACCTCTCATTCTTAACACAGCAAGAAGGACCTGTTACCTTATAGTCAAAGCTGTGGCCATGGAAGTGCGCCGTGTGAATGTCTACTTCATTGCCCATTCCCATCAAATACCAGGTTACTTTATCTCCAACGTGCATAGTCAGACCATGTAAGTTTCCAAACACTTTGCCATTGATGGCTAAAAAGAGGAAAAGAGCAAGACAGAGAAAACAAATTAGATTTTGTGTACTGTTACTCTTTAAAGTTTAAACAGAACACAAGATTTGAAAGCCAATGCCATGCAAAAGTAATGGCTTTGAATGGTACATAAAACCAAAATAATTGGACAGCATATTACAAATGAGTCTGATTATATTCCATATTTAATTGGAAAGTAAGACGTAGTTAAAAGTTTTTTACTATACATGATTGCTAATGTTGCAGTTCTTAAAGGTCTGCATTTTCCGCAGCTCTTTGTGAAGGGTAAACTCTACTAGGATATGTTTCAGGGGACACGTTGCTTTTCTATTGCCTCAGTTGTTTGCTGACATCAAATCAAAATTTCAAAGTTCATTTTTACTCTTCTCAAAATTTCAACATGAGACCATTTTTTCATAGGTTAAAAAAAAAAAAGTCACTCAGTGGCATTAAGAGTATTTTTAAATAAATTGAGTGAAATTTCACAGGTCTTCTGCCCTGGAACTTGAAATTCAGAGGCAATGAGAAAGTCAAATTTATATGCAGTACTTTCAAATACATAATTTCATCATTTCCAGAGTTATATTAAGTAAATTGGGAAACATACCATGCATTTTATTACTTTCAAGGAATTCCTCATTCTCTTTGTCAACAAGGTGTGGGTTGCTAGAATAGGTTTTAATGTTTTCATCCAAGTACCAGGACTCATTTTCATCAAAAACCATGAAAAGCAGAGCAAACTGGACTTTCTTTTTGATATGAAATGATGGCAAATAATGTCTATTACACACAACAAGTGTGCCTATTAATCCACTGTAAGTGTCCTGAAATTAGAAATGAAAAATCACGTAATTACAAGTTACAACTAAGCAGAAGTACTTTTAATGCCAGACATGAATCCTCTTACTATTTTTACAGCTGTCAGTATGTAGGAATAAAGGTAGCCAGTGTCAGACAAACAAGGTTATTTCTTCACTGTTTTATGCTGCCCATGGACCAAGTTCAATAGACTGAAGAGTAACTGCCTCTTTTTTATCACTTGCTAGAAATAAACATTCCATTTTAATTTCTCACTCATCTTTTTTTCTCCAAATTCTTTTTAGGATTTTTAGCTTGGTTTCCATTCAAAATATGTTTGACACTTTGTGTTTGCTGAGACATGAAGGAAAGAATACATTAGTTCCTATTAAAAATTATTAGTCATCTTAAGTTAATGGGTGCTTGTACAAAAATGACAGATTTATGTTCCACAGTTGCATGTTAGTTTTCCCACACATGATACTGAGCAAAGCTCTAGAGTGTTAGCTTTTAAGAATGAAGTGTGAGGGAGGTGATCTGTGCCAACAGCAGAACCAGGGAGCAAGAGCATGAAGGGCCGTGACTCAAATTCTGCCCTGACTTTCTCACATTAGTCAAGAGACATTTAAATTCAAAAGGTATGGAAATAGGGGGAATGACTTGGCAGATAAAGCAGAAAGAATTTCAGACTCATCTCATCTTTTGCTGTAAGTGTATCTGTGTTGAAGTCACAAACAAAACCCTTTAGATTCATATAAATAATGTACCTTAACGATGTCCACCGTTGAGTGGTACGCCCATGCAATGCAGTGTGGATCTCCCTTCTCAGAACTAGATCTCTCTGGGATTTTCCAGACATATGTTTTTGTTTCACCTGAGTTAAATAAATACTGATTAATTTTAGACGTTTTCTGTGTGCTGACCTATAAGAGGTCACCCTGAAACAGATGTTAGCTCCATTTACAGCTTTTGTCTCAAGCTTCCTCTTCCCAGTTACTAGCTCTGGCTAGCTTATTGTTATTTCCCTTCTGCAGATCCCTCACTCTTCTTGCCAGCATTTGTGTGTGTGTGTGGCTGCACTGTCCAGTTTACCATAGTTAATTTAAAAAAAAAAAAACACAAAACAACACAAAAACCCTATCTTTTGTAAAGATCACAGAGGAACTTCTGAAGTAACAGCATAAGCTAGGCTCTCCCTGTGTAGCCTGATGTTTGGTTTCATGAAAGGTGCAGCCACACTGCATCAAAGAATTACCCATCTGTCAAGGGCTAAGATGCGTAGCAATAGGAAGCGGGGCCATTTTAATTGGAGAAGTATTGGCCATAATCAGCATCAAAAATTTAAGAACCTGAGGTAAAACAAACAAATAAACAAACAAAACCAAACTCTTTCCTGCTATCCTAAACCAAAAGCTTGCTAAACCTTACTAGAAGGCTTGGTGTTACCTGCTAGAAATAAGCAAGGATGCTTTGATACCTGGGTTAGTCACAGCAACAACAGAACTGTCTGTTTTCACTCCATGGGCATGTATAGAATAAGGTCTTGATGCCAAGTTCTTAAAAACTATTCTAATTTTATCTCCAATATTTGACATAAGCAGTGGCCCTGTTGGATTGAAAAGAAAGATTAACTTGGTTTTACAAAAGATCAGAACAGATTGAGAGAGAGAGAGATTCTTGTGTGCAGTTGGATTGAAAAGAAAGATTAACTTGATTTTACAAAAGATCAGAACAGAGAGAGAGAGAGAGAGAGAGATTCTTGTGTGCCAACACACAACATTGGTTTATAATTCAACTAAAACCCCAATGTGGATGATGTCATTCACTGTGATACGCCAACTTGAGTCACCAAATTTAAGTAGAGGTCTAAGTTTCAAAAGTTCCAAGCACCTACTGTATATTGGAAGTCACTTTGGATCTTGCTGCCCAGTTTTACACTGACTTTGAAACTACTGGCCTATGATCAGGCAGCAAACCAGAATGGTTTTTTTCTTGTAAAGCAAGCAATGTAATCTTGCATGGAAAGCACCATAATGAAAGTAGCAATTTCATGTAGGTTTAGGCACTTTGTGTGGGTAAGAACTATACTCAGTATTATTCAAATAGCATCTTCTTTGTCTTGTTGGATTGGATTTTTTCCAGTTTCAAAACGGAACTTCATGATGACTCTACCTTGAATTTCCAGGTGCTCCTGGTCCTCTGATCTTTTTTTGGGAGTGCTGAATGTGTGATCAGTGTACTCACGATATACTACCTTTCTGTATTTTGAGCCAATGAATTTATCTTCTTTATTTAAAAATGGATTGCCGGGGCTGCAAATAAAAAAGAAAGTAGAGGTAAGAATATGTCATACATTTCTTTATGTATTTTAAATTATCTTTTGCAGGCATGTTAATTAACCATCAAACAAAAATCCAGCTCAATGAGACAGTAATCTCTCTCATAGACTGCTGGTATCTTCAACATGAATACATTCTTGTTAAGCTGGGAGGTTAAAAAAAAAAGTATAAATAGTTCAAGTCTATATAGTTTTTAAGAGAATGCTGAGTGCTCGGCCTGGCAGATATTTCGAATTGCAAGAAGTCATCCAGCCACTTGCATACTGAAAAATAGAGCCCTCAGGGACTTCTGCAGAACTGACTTGTAGACTAAAGCTTGTGAAACTCAAGTGCCTTGCTGAAATGAAACGCGAGGGATGGATTCTCTGCTGAGATCATGGGGGCTAGAGACAGTGGGGACAAAAAAGTCTGATACCAGCATCATCCATATTACTTGTGCTTAGAACTGTGACAGCGCCCACTGTGGTGTGCATATGCAAAGAAAGTGTGTCTAGAAATGCCTGGAGGAGGAAAAAGTTCAGAGGAGAAGAGAGTTCCTCCTTGGCTTCTTTTGCATTTTTTCCCCCCCTTGTGTATATTCCAAAGTACCTTTCCTCATGGTGTAGATGCCGCTCAAATTCCCATGTCCTGTTCGGAGAATAGTCCCATTCAACTTCCACTGCAGCAATATAGTAAGTCTTTTCATGCAAATACATAGATAGGTCCACATTCCACCAGTGGCATTGTTTCACTCGGTAATTCTGTTTCATGCCCCCTGTGTAGTGATCTGTTGTCAGGCACGACACTTCAAAAACTCCTAGAGGTTGTACAAGAAACAAAGACTTGAGGACAAAACTCTTTTACTACTAGATCTTAAGACTGTATTACCTATGTTAATTTAGTGTTCAGAGACTGACACACAGACTATTGCTCATATAAAATCCATATTCTTTGTGTAATACAGTGCTACTTGTAGTAAAAAAATTCAGCATACACAGAAGCTACAAAAATCAAGGCTTTAGCATTAAGAGTTTATGTCCTATGGACACACGTTTGCTGCCTTTCAAACACAGCTGTACATAGTTTAAGCACCCAAATAATCAAAATGTCAGCTATTTGAATCTTGTCTCTAAGCGTTAAATGTTCATGGTAATGGTTTCTAAACTAGTAACAGGATTTTTAAACAAGACATTTACCTTCAGAATCAGGTTTCATAATGGCTGTAAGAAATGTATGTGGAAACAGATTTGCTGTATCCCTTCTTGTTCCTTTAGTTACGAATGTGTTTTCTGAAAAGTATATCCCATGGACATCGACTTCTGACCCCAAGCCCATCAAATGCCAGGAAACCACACTTCCTTTGCACATATCAAGGCCAGGTTGATTTCCGTACATGTAACCATTAATGGCTGTAGAAAATTTGAGGAAGCAAAACCCACCTTGATTAACACATTACTTAATTCTGTAATACAGATTAAATAATACATACTTCAGATATAATGTGATGTCTTAGACTGACAAGAGTATCAATAATAAAATACTTTATCACATCAGCAAAACTAGAGAGTTAAACAAAACAACTTTTAAAACCAAGTGTTCACAAAGAATTTATAACTGTTCTCCTTTTCAATGTCTAAAACACAAGTAGCTGATGACCAACTGGAACTTCTACAGTATAAAACCCATCAAGTGTGCATGAAATGTCTCTGCAACTCTCCCACTTCCCAGTCTCCAACATGAGATCACAACAGTAAGTGTCTTATTGTAGAAATGAGTATTTGGCTAGCTAATAATTTTCTTACAGTGCATTTTGTTAGACTCTTGGAAGTCCTCATCGTCTTTGTCAATTTCATTAGGATTTAGTGTAAACATCAAAATATTGTCATCCAAGTACCAGCTCAGATTCTCATCAAATACTGTGGCAAGTAGAAAAAACTCCATGTTCACATTTTTCTGTTGAGAAGAAATAGCACAAAGAGAAATAGAAATGTGAAGAGAAAACATCAGGGAAAAAATTATATGTGTATAATAATTTAGAAGTATAATTCACAAAGTAGGACAGATGCATACATTGAGACTTCGTTCTGATAATCTCAAAGACCTCTAATTGCTAGATCTGGTGACTAGATACCTGCTGCTAATGCTCTTTCTACCAACAGGAACCACCGTTAGAAATGAAAATGTGTTTTGATCTTTAAAGTCGCTACTTCTTTTTAGTCATTCTCATCCTAGTGGTGCTCGCTGTGATGGTGGTTTCACAATACAGCACCTGTCTATCTGGAGCAAGACTGATTTTTTTTATTTTTAATAAAAAACCCAACCAAACAAGAAAACTCCAAACCAAACCCACTCTCTTCATTTTCTGTGTTCCCCTCAGCACATGGGTGAGGCTTGGTGCAAAGAGGAGGTGGTACTGAGTGGCCGTGAGCGTGTCAGGCCCCAGCTGGGGAGAAAGAAAGAAAGAGAAAGCAGATTTGGCTACAATGACGCAAATGCTTCCATTTTTCCGCTTTGACTGACCTGTTTCCCAGAAGGAAGGAGAGCTCCTTTCCTGCACACCAAGAGAGGACCCACAAGGCCAGAACTGGTGTCTCTGACCTCATCCACCGCTGAGTAATAGAGCCAGGTTAGACAGTCTGGGTCTTGGTCTGTGGGGCCCACGTCTTCTGGCACGTCCCACTCGTATGTAAACGTAGCACCAGGATTCACGTGAGAGGCTGGAGATTCAGTACCTATTACAGAAATCAACACTAGGAATTAAGTTTACATTTATTTTATCACCTTTAATACAGTGGCAGGTAGGAGGAGGTTGTTCCCCGGTGCCCGCAGGATCCCCGTCCACAGGCGCACCTCTGGAGGCGGCGCCGTACCGTGCCCCCTCGTTGCTCTTGCGGTAACTCACACCATGGGGCTGCACGCTAAACGGGCGGCTGGCGTTGTTTCGGAAGGTCACCCTGATCCTCTCGCCCACCTCAGCCTTGATAACAGGGCCTAGGAGAGAGCACACGGGCGAATCACAGGTCTCCTGTTGCATGGGGAGCTGCCCCTGGGCCTCTGTGGCCATGGACCTGCTCCCTGGCCCATGGCGCGGATGACACAGCTGCAACTGCACTGCTCCATTCCCAGTTCCTTACGGAAGCTCAGGGACATGCAGGACAGTTCCTCCCTTTGGAAAGGGACCCAAAGACCTTGGCACCAAACTCAAACTGAGTCCAGAGCCGTGCGAGACACAGCCAGGTTATAAACAGGGCTAGATCTGCCTAGCCTGGCCTTATAATCCAGAGCCTGACCTTTGGACACCTTGGTGTATTTCCCCTGGTGAGCTGGGGACCACCACAGCATTGCCTTCAACAGCTTTATTACACCCTGGGGTGTCTCTTGGAGAAAGCCACAGGCACCAGCACCTGCAGAAGTCAAGGAGGGCCAAGGCCCCCCTCCTTGGCCCTGAGGGGGCACTGCTGGCTAGCCAGTGGAAGTGATAGTTTACTGTCATAAATCTTTAATATGAAATATTTTTAGGTATCTTACCTAAGAGTCCAAGATGTGCTTCCTCTGGAAGTCTTTTTTTATGCTCAGTGAAAGACCCATCTGTGTATTCTTTGTAAATGGCTTTTTTATACGAGCCGCCAATTCTTGTCTCACTTTGTTCGAAAAATACACGAGATTCACTGTGTAAAAGAAATTGGAATAGATGCCAACAGTTTAAGTCGTAATGCTCAGCTTTACAAAGGCAGTCAGGACATCACCCCTATTTTACAAGTTTGTCTTTTGGGTTTCCTTTCAGTGATTTGGCCACACGTTTATATGCAGTCTGTCCCATATAAGGCTGTGCAGGAATCCATTACTCTTCACTAACTTCTCTTTAAGAAGACACTGTGTTCTATGGCCCTTATAAAGCCAGCATGCTTAGACACTCATCAACAATGATTTCCAGTCAACATTTCATAACCTGAAGTTTACTCTTTTTTTTTTATTAGAAGTTACAAATAATTCAACCACAGTAGATACAAACACCAAGAATACGTAGCATCTAAGTAGAAAGGGCTAAGATTTAGCCTATGCTTTTTAGTCTACACTTTTACTCTTCAAAAAAAGAACCTTTCACTGTTTTATAAACACCATTCAAACAATGAACTGTGCCTCATCTCTTGTGGGGCAGGTAGGTATTCTTTAACTCAAAGAAAAAAAAAATCTGAGGAACCAACTTGTTTAGTGGATTGATCCAGGTCTTAAAATATGTAAACAAAGAGCAAATGGCAAAGCTACCTCGTGCAAGTCATTCGCTAGCTTAGATGCCTTTAGTGTGACTTTCATCAGCTGAGGAGATGATGATGAATTCCTAGCTTTGTTCTCTTAACTCAGAATTATCAACCATCTTGAATCATCAGAGGCCACTGCCTACGTATGACATTACAATTCATCTTCATCCCAGTGAAATTACTAACATTACAGCAAAATCTATAGTAAGATTACAACAAAAACAATGGACCCCATTTGGTCTGATATTTATCCTGACATGAGAAATTCTGCTTAAAAGTCATCTCTACCATATGTCCTACTTTATTTAGCATATTTATATCAATTCTGCTTGGAAAGTAAAACTTCTTTAAATTGAAGCATTTACCTGTCAGCGATTAATTCTTGTCCTGTAAAATGGTTCATTGCAGATGGGCCGTAATTCCAGATGATCTCTTCAGCAGCAATGAAGTATTGTCTTATCTTCGTACTCTCTTTGTGAACTGTTGTGGATTTCCTACAATCTTTTACTTTAAAAAGGGCTTGCATACCACCTGGGGAAAAAACAAGGAGGTAGAGAAAACCAGGGGTAAGGAACTGCACTTTGTTTTCTCACTTTCTGCCTCCAGTAGCTCTTCTCTCCCCTGGAGAGTTCCCATACCATTGATGGACTTGCAAATCACAAACAAAAAGGAAGAAAAATGATATAAAAGAATGCACGCCAGCTGAGCCAGGGTGTAGAAACACAACCACAATATTTACAGTGGGCAGACAGGTGTGGTGAAGTGCATTCTGCTGGTAAAGCTGCACCTGACATGGTATTACAGAGAGGTTAGGGTGGAGAGGAAACTTCTGTCAGTTAGCACTTCAATCAGAGCCAGGTGCTGCCAGGCTGACTATCTTCCCTCTACACCTAATCAACAGCTTACTTGTGGAACTCCTGGGTCTCTGCTCCTCAGGAGAAAGGTCTGTTAGCAAACCTGCTTGCTGGAGATACAAACACTATAATAAAGAGAACCCTTTTACAGCTACAGATTAGGCCAGTTTGTAGGATTTAAGACTTGCCCAGGATGCTTCAATCACATCAGGATGCTGCTTGAGGCACGATAGCTATTTCAAAACTTACAACCCCTGTGTAGTTGAATCCATAGGCATACTGGCATACTCATTTTTATGCCAGATTTTTCAATTCTTGGAGAATGATTTTGAGTTCTGTGTTCCTTCCCACTTCTGTGACAAATTACTTCTCTAACTCAATTAGGGATATAGATCATGGAAAAGTGGTATATAGAATCATGGAAAAGTGTGGAATTAGCTTCTAAGTATTTCATATGGTTAGCAAACACCAGAAATACAGAAAGATGCAGGGAATAGAAATGCAGATCAAAACAGAAAATTGTAATTAATTACCTTCAGTAAGAGGCAAACATCATGCTATTGTATGTTTAAAGTTGAGGCTTGCAAAAGTGCAGCTGTGCCAGGTCAGGCTCAAGTGAGTCAGTAACCTGTTTTTTAGCTTAAGCTAAAAAAAAACCACCATTCTGATCATTGGAATTTATTCTGTACCTTCGATATGGTCATTCACTTGGCAGCTGAGCAGCCATTCCCCGGGAACCCTTGGTATCATGAAAGCATCGATAAACGTGGCTGGGAAGAGGTTGATGGTGTCAACTCGATGATGCCTTTCTATTAGGGTCTGTCCATGAAAGTAGGCTGCATGGATATCAGCTTCATTACCCATGCCAAAAAGATGCCATTTCACCTTATCTTCCACACACATTGTGAGGTCTGGGAGGTATCCGTACATGTATCCGTTGATTGCTAAAAGAAATGTTATTTATTACAGTTACCTTCACAGTACTTAGGATCTTTTCTTCAAAAGCAGGTGTCATACAACCATTGCTCTACTTTTTAAAATAGGAAGAGCCTCAAAACAAAACTCCACACCTCTGAAAGTGAGGCAATATCAGACGCACACCTCTTCTGGACAACTACCTGCATGACCAGCAGCTCCCAACCTGATTCTGGAATCCATGCAGAGCCAAAGTAAAAACTATTTCTCTAAACTGTGATACTATAGTACAGAGTTCAGGACTAAGAAACAGAACAAAGCAACCCAACTCTGTTTAAAGCACCTGGAAAATTATACTGGTAGAGAGGTTCTTGGCCCCCAAGAATTTTATATCACAACTCCAACAGTTTGATTGTACAGTATTTGCCATTACTTTTAATTTATTTTTTTCTTATTTAAAAGGATCTTTCTTAATCCTCCAAGAAAAGGACTTGCTTAAAAAAAAACCTCTCTACAGTTCATCTTTAAAAGAGACAACACACGAAAATATTACTTCACCATATCAATGACAAGCAACATTAATAAAACATTCTCTCACAGTGCATTTTATTGCTTTCCTGGAAGTCCTCGTCATCTTTGTCAACTTTGGAAGGCTCAGAACAGTATGTCCTGATATTATCCTCTAGATACCAACTGAGATTTTCATCCATCACAGTAAACATAAGGATAAATTCAGCATCAAAGTGTTCATCATTACCATTATTCATTGTACCTGAAAAAGAAAGCAGTATAGTCAAAGTCTTCGGCAACTGACATTGTCTTTTTAAGCACTGTATCAGTTTACTTCTTATTTTGCCACTTTTTTGAGTGTAAATGTACACATAAACATACAGACATGCTCAGAAAACAAAAACTGGTTTTGATAAACCAATACTATAAAATAACTTTACACAGACATGCTCAGAAAACAAAAACTGGTTTTGATAAACCGATACTATAAAATAAGAATAAGCATTGCATGTGATAAGGTTACAGTAAATCTGTTTCTCCTATCAGTGTTTACACATCCTTTTGCATTACTAGCATGAATGCTTCTCACACATGGATTTGTGGACAAAGTATTCTGCAAATTATATTTGCTGTCACAAACAAAATCCAACTACTTACTATATTATTGAAAGGCAGCTCATTGAGAAGATAAAAAGCTGCTATTTCAAAATTTTCCTCTTCCAGTAAATTATTTCACTGATATTTATCAATAAGCATTATCATTCACCTTGCATACGTGTTTGTTTACTTAGTTAGTTAGTTATTTATGGTTTACCTTTCCTGCAAATAATTAAAGGCCCAACAAGCCCTGAGGCAACATCTCTTGGAGCATCTATGTGGGAGTGGTAAACCCTGGTTATGCAGTCTGCATCTCCCTCAGCTGGACCTTGATCTTCTGTCACGTCCCATGTGTAAGTGTACTGGCCTCCAGGCTCCACACCGTCATCTCTCTTTTGCAAATCTTTGGTGTTGTCAGGGTAAAAAGCACCTGAAGAATGTGATATCACCATCATTAACACAACACATTCACAATACGGTACCAGGATAGCACCTGCCGTGCTTTAAAGTTGAGTGCATGTTGCAGTAACACAGTCTGAACAACTGAATACAGGTTAAAAAAAAAAATCTTTTAAATCAGCTGAGCCAATCTTTTCCTTCTCTTTAGAAGTCTCTTCATTTGCCTTTGATTTCCATGGGAGTGCTTCAATTAATGGCACATTAAATTTAGTCCTTAATTTATTAGGAGGGCACAATGTACTTCTGCTGAAGAGATAACAATTCAAATATTTGTGAAACGTTTGTTAAATATTAATCTTGGAAAGTTCTAAAATATTGCATATGTCCTCAAGAAATACAGGTGCCACTGGAATGAGAGCAGCAGAAAAAAAAAAATACTTAAACATTGTTCCAAAAAGTGCATGTACTGCTCCATAACACACTGTTCTGCTCCCAGAGAATGCATCTATATCAAGCCACATATTAGTTGTAATGAAAAACTTAACAAAATATTAGAAGTTAAGCTCATACTTCATAAATTCTTCTAATGAAAAATTTTTAAAGACTGCTTTTGAGACACCATCATATTTTCAACAACTCACACACTACTTTTAAGGTCTAAATAAAACTTTCAGCAGCCATATTCTGGTGCTGTCTGGTGCAGAAAATCCCTCATTGCCTGAGTATGGCAACATCAGCTGATGCAAGGGCAAATGATCACTAATCCCAATAGCACGCCTGCAATACATCCTAAAGTGTGTACGACATTAAGTTATTACTAAGCAGTAGTTGTTTCTCCATTTTAAGAAAGTCTTGTATATCTTATACACAATGTATACAAATCCATTTTAAGAAAGTCTTGTATATCTTATACACAATGTATACAAATTTAGTGTTAGGAATTTGGAATTGTAAGTTATCCTGTTAACAATATCTTCTTCACAACAGCATCATTTTTTCCTTTAGATATTCTCAACACCTGCATCTCCTGTTTATCTTTATACTCTTATTTCAGACAAAATGTTGATCTAAAATGTCTTCATTATGAATTCCACTTTTGGCTTTGTATTTCAGTCTTGAAAAAATTATCAAACTTCTTAGCTCCTGTTTCAAATTGTCTGTGTCCTGTTTTAAATTTTTCTTTATTTGACAAGTCTCTTTGATGAGAGACCATCACTGACACTTAGAGAAATGATGAACTTTTGATAAATTCTGGCACAGAATGGACTTGAGCTTACCTTCATTTTCCTTTGTGTATGTTACACCATGCGGATGCAGCGTGTAGTTTCTGGAAGCAAAGTTTTTCAAGTGAACAATAATGGAATCTCCGACTTCTCCCTTAATGATAGGGCCTAAAAAACCCAGCCAGGAGGGTTTCTCGACTGTCACATCGTATAAATGATTGGTGTACTGAGTGTACACAGCCTTCTTGTAGGTGCTTCCTATCCTATGTGGGCCTCTCTTGAGAAAGACTCCAGCCTGCCTGTAAAGAAAATACACAAGCATATCCCTAGTGTCAGACACTCAATTTATAGTTGAACAGTGTTAATTAGTAGGGTGTCAAATAAAGACCAGGCCTCCCTAGCGCTGTGCAGAACTATATCTCTGTTGAGGAGTAAATATGTCTCTTACTGTAAAGAGTTGGGCACCCAGATAGAGATTAGATATTATGCACCAACCTGATTTTTTGGGGGGTCTATTTTGTACACTGAAAATAAGGGTATTTGATATAATTTCAGGCAAACTTCAGACCATGTGGACAAGGCCAATAATACACCCTGGAGGTTTTCAAAAGACGGGCTGACATAGTGCTTAGTGACATGGTTTAGTCATGGGGTGGTTTTGTTTGTTTGTTTTTATCAGAGTTAGGCTGATGGTTGGACTAGATGATCTTAAAGGTCCCTTCCAACCTGGAAGATTCTATGATTCTATAGTTCTTACCACTCAAAACTTTTGTACTTTCATGCTTAAATTGCTGTATAGTTTTCCATGGCCTGTTAAGTAATTTCCATCATCACAGTATTATGTTGACTGCATAGCCCTTGCTCCATTGCAATGTGGAGCAGCCTTTTCAGCTGTGACATACGTTTAAGATGTCTGGACATGAGCAAATCTAGAAGGTGCTGCTAACACCCGGTGTGTGTGGGGGGCAGGGGGGACATGCAGCGTGCTGAAATCAGTGAGACTGAGCCCTCAGCTTGCTCACCCATCAAAGATGCAGAAGAATCACAGCCTCGGTGCCTGATAATGTCTCATTTTTACAGGTTCAGCCCAAGAATATGCAAACAGGTTACATGACAGCAGGGAATTAGCAATGACATCCTCAATCACTGAGTGCCTTAACTGCTGGACCGTTGCTCCTCTCAATTGATTATTAATTATATTAAAATGAATGATATTAAAAATGAGAGGCTGGTTAGCAAGGAAACAGCCATGAGCTCAACTGAAACTGCTTGAGATGTTATATCCCACAGGTGGTGTCAGCACCTCCAAACCCTGTGGCTATGGTGGATCTGCTGCCCAAGTACCACCGGTCACAGGCACAGGGTCACCATGTCTTGACAGCTATTAACTGGGAACAGCTTTGGAGCCAACCTTTGCCTGTGCTGAGGGTCAGGTACCTTTCATTAGCTATTTTAGTCTCTGAGAAGAGTTATCTTCGTGGAAAAAGTGTTTCTGTTTGCTAACTACAACAGTGAGAGAAGCTGCCAGCACTGGCTGTTCAAAGCAGTGGAGCTACTTCTGGCTGGTGCTTTTACCCCAAACCCCAGAGTCTCTAACAACAAATCCTCCTGCACTTTTCTCTGCCCATTTCAGGAAGACTAGCAGTGGAAGTAAACCTACTCCAGAAGGAGGCAATCCTGGGAGGTAGGTCAACAAGGCCTGAAGTTCAGCAGCCTCCTGACTGCTCACCTGAAACCAAGCCAACTCACTTTCGTGTTCCCAGCAGCCAATATTGTGACTGCCCGAAAATCCGAAGTATTTCCCACAAGGCTGAGCATTGTCTGAGCATGTGGGGAAGGGATTGTTTGTACCTTGGCAAGCACAGATCTGAAGTGTAATTAAAATGCCAGTTCAGAGCTCCTTGAAACTTGGAAAGCATAAACTTAGTTGCAAAGGCTGTTACTGGAAGACTGAGTGCATGAAGCTTTTCAGCCACAAACTAAATCAAACAAATATTTTATGGCTCTTCTTGGACTATTTAAACAGCTACCATTTAATTGTAGAGTATCCCCTCTAACAGGTACACCATGCTCTTGCCTCTATAAGTGTCCATCTCTACACAAGCACAGCCCCACAGCTGAAGGGTTCAGGAGGAGAGGAAGAATCGGAAAAGGTGAAAATGAAAAGCACAATAAAAGGGACCAGCTCCATTGCAGGCAAGCAGCCACTGAAAAACTGGAATGAGTGTAGCATGCTGCAAGTTGCCACTGAGCTGAGAAAAGCAGCCAAAGTGCAGCAAACGGTGGTGGCTTGTTGTATGACAATGCTGCTCAGCAGTTTTCAGAGAAGATGCCCTGCTCCCACCAGTTATCAGAATTACTGCTGAATCACCGGCAGCATCTTGCACGTCACTCAGTTTATGAGTGGAAAAAAAAAAAAAAAGCTGTCTGTGTTGCCTCATGCCTGATGAAGTGGCAGATTATGGCTGAGACATTGTCAGCTCTCACCAGAGAAAACCACAGGAAATCTTCTAATCCCTCATCTACAGACTAAATGAGAACCGTATGTTTGAGATTTTTCTGATTCCTGGTTTCTCTCCTGTTTTTATTTCAGTATAGTCCTATGTCATTTTAAAGGCACCAAAAAAGTAGAAGGAAGGAACATTTTTTCTCTCTCAAATATTTCTCTGATGACTTTTATATCTGAGTTTCCTTTATTGATTATTCATATCTTCAGGGCACTCCCTCCTTCCTCACCGTGCTCATCCTCACCCTGCTTCTCGCTCTCGCTGCACAGCACCCTCCTGCCTTGTAACCAGCCACCCAGCTCCTTCCCCGTGGGTGGAAGGACCAGCTCTGCTGTTGCACCTCCAACAGCTGGAAATAACCACCGCCAACAATGACTGTCTGAAAAGGAAACCTGTGCCCAATAGGAAAGTTTAAAATGTGTCAAACTTCTGCATGTTAAATATAACAGCAAAAGTGTTCTCTACAGCACTGGCACCTTAGCCATTCAAAACTAAACATCATTAGACATTAAAGGTCCTTTTCTAGTCTCAGCTTGGTAAACATTTCATTTCAACATATTAACAAAAACTCCTGCATATTCCAATTCTCAAGCAAGCCAAGAAAAAATCAAAAATCCCTTATCTCTCTGACAGAAAATTCACTGACACCAACAGGATTCATTTCATTGCCTTCACCAGGTTTTCACTCTGGTCCTAGTGTCTAAAGCAGATGACGCTGTAAAATCTAACTCAGCCAGTGTAAACTTTTACTTACTCTTCATCTGCAAAAAGCTGTCCAGAGATGAGGTCTGTACTGCCGGGCGCGTAGTTCCACACCGTCTCTGTAATGCCAATGTAGTACTCCCTCCTCACTGCCCCAGCTTGGCAACAGCAAGAAACCAGCCAGCAGCTTAGGAAAAATAGCTTCATTTTGCATTCACGAACCTCGGGGAAAAAGGTGAAATACAAACCCCAGGAGGGGCACAAGCCATTTCCCTTTATATGTTCTTGTCTCTCCCACCGCCCACCCCTCCTCGCCTCCCCCCTCCCGGCTCCTGTTTGCTTTGGTGAACACAATAAAACGTTGCACAACCTCTCTGTGTGTCAAGAGTAAACAAAAGATTCTGGTCAGTTCAGCTAATCTTCAAAGAAATTTTTTCAATTTCTGCCAACTGTCTATCACACAAATTACCGTTCAGACCGTTAGCGGATTATAAATTGTGCAGCTGAATTGAAAGCACTGGAGATTTACATGGATTTAGAGACTGAAGCTTAATTACATTCTTCACTATGTTTATCACTCTCACTATTGCTACTACTGAGAACACAATTCCTGTCAAGTGTGGCACAAGAACACAACTTCTTAAGTGCCCCGTGAGAAGCTGTAAATGACACGTTTTCCCGGTGGTGCTGCGATGACACGGCTGCAGCGAGGCAGCCCCTGGGTACAGGCTCTGCCCTTGCTCTTGCTCGCCCCAAGCCTACAGATCGCTGCCCCTCGCCCAGCAGTGGCCACACTGGTGTGACACAGAGGGCTGAGGGAGGGCTCTGGTGTCAGAGCAGCCCTTGGACACCAAGGTATAGGTGGAGAAGCTAGTGGGAGGTGTCCCTGCCCATGGCAAGGGGGTTGGAACTAGATGATCCTTAAGGTCTCTTCCAACCCAACCCATTCGATGAGCCTATGATAAGCACTGCTAACCCACCACAGCTCCCTGAGAAATGCAGTTTAGCACAAAATGTAGCATAAATATAGCTAGAGATAAAAAGGACTGCTCTTCACAGGTGGAGGGGGGAGATGTTTGCATCTCATGTCCAGGTAGCTTCAGTATAGCCCAAATGAAAATGAGCCTCAGAAATTCCACAAAATAAACTCCCTGTGTTATCTTCCTCCTCCTATCACCAGGCAGGCTAAGCCACATTCTTCAGTGATTAAAAGCAGAATAGATGTATAAAGCTTAAGATAATCTTGACTGTTACCATTATCTAAAGGTAGTACCCAGTGCAGAAGGCTATACTTTCACTGTATTCAGGTTCTGTAAACATTACATATCTGCTATTTTCAGTCTCAATGAAAAATAAGAACAAATTTGACCTCAAACATGGGATGTTAAAAAAGCACCAAACTAAAGCAAGCAAGTGCATTATTTTCCAGCATAGTCCATTACATCACGGTTGTGTCTGAAGCTTTAGACATACAAAGCCACCTGCAAACTTGCAAATTATAAAGACTTCCATTAAAAAAAATATATATATATCTTCAGTCACTTGAGAATTCTTAAAAAATCTTTTCTGTACTCTGAGCACTGACACAATCATTCTAAATTACATTTTTAATTGTATTGCAATTTAAAAATATCTGTAATAATCGCAATCTTCTTTGAAGCTATCTTCCTAATGGTGGGGAAAATTGTGATTATTTTGGATAGAGGACAAAGATTTAGGACATAACTAAAGTATGACAGGTTTCCTTTTATGATATACAAATCTAAACGTCCTTTACCAAGATTGTAGTATACAGACAAATTACCAATTTTAATCACTATTCATATAAAAAAATTTCAGGCACTGTCAGAATACCCGAGTTCATGATCTCAGCTTTTAGAACCTTCTAAACATCAGCATTAACTGCAGGATTCTGGTTCTGTCTAAATGACTGTGGCCAAAGCCAAGTTTTCGAAATCTGACCGAATCTATGATGAAATTCTGGAGTTTCCCAGGTTGGCATCACATGCTCAAAATTATTTCTGCAGGGATTATTTTTTTTTTCTTTGCCATGGCTGAAGGTCAGTAGTTCAGTGGAAAGATCAGCTCGTACACATTGCATATGTCCCATCTGTAAATTAACTGAGGTCAAAATAATAAAATGTTTATCTCCTTTTGTACTACTTAAATTCGAAGTCATTCCTTAATACTCAGCTAACAGAATTGTTCATGTATATGTGAGCTATTTGATCTGTTTTTGTTCAAACTTCCTTCAGACTGAGGAAGAGAAAAAAACCCACATCCTTGAAATCTCCACATTTAATTGAGGATAAAAACAAGCATTTCTTTGCCTTTAGTCCCTTGATTCCCCTAAATTACTTTTTTCTTGATTTGCAAATATGTTGCTTTTATTAAAAGATAAAACAAAAACTTCTGACAGGCAAGATTCTTCCATTACAGCTTTTAAATGTGCCTCACCCAAACTTTAGGATATTCATGTGCCTGAGCACACTCCTATTATCTTTCGCTTAAGGACCTCAAATAACTGACAGAGGTGACTCAGTTCCTCCAAGGCTGCATTATTATCTTCAGAGGGTGTTTGAAGATCAGAAACCTCTCTTCTCTGGTGGACAGGGCCTAAAAGGACTGAACACCTAATTTAATTGGTTAAACTATGAGTCTGGAGTCTGGTGCCATGAATATCCTCTCATTGTTTTATACCACAATACCTCATTTCTCATACTGAGGATGCTGAAATGCTATGACTGTCCTGAAAGTCCTCAAAATTGCATTGAAAATATCAAGCTGATTTTTTACTTGAAAAAATTTTCCTTGAGGAAAACAAAACAAAACAAACAAAAAATGGAACATTCTGACAAAAAAGTCTCTTGCTCTGGCAAAATGCATTGGCTGTGAGGAACAAATAATCCTCAAACTCTTGCTTCCAGGTTTCAACATTAACTCCTCACTCACAGAAGTTTATAAACTCAGATCTGCAGCTTTCTTCCAGCTGTGCCCAGGATATTTCAGCAAGGGGCACATGCACTTCGGGTTCAGGAACACTTCTTCAAAAAAGGGTTTCTTGTAGGCAAGCACAGTGTGAGCTTTGTCCTGGCTCTATGGCCCACTTCTCAGCTGTTCTTGGGGTGGGGTCAGTATTCTGCACCTGGAAATCCAGATGGTCATGTTGCCTCAACCACCACCACCAGAGTCACTGGTCATGGCTGGATTTCAAGCAGTTAATATTCCTTACAGGAATATTGGTTTTGCTACCAGGCACAGATCATAGCATTTCTTATTAGAGACATTGTATTTAGGATTAATTCAGGACTTCAATCATAGAATCATTTAAATTGAGAAAGACCTCTAAAATCATTGAGTCCAACCATTAACCTAGGACTGCCAAGTCTACTACTAAACCACATCCCTCAGCACCACATCTAAATGTCTTTTCAATATATCTCCAGGGACGGCGACTCCACCACTTCCCTGGGCAGCCTGTTCCAATGCTTGACAATCCTTTGGGTGAAGAAATTTTTCCTAATATCCAATCTAAATGTCTCCTTGTGCAACTTGAGGCCGTGTCCTCTTGTTAGTTGGGAGAAGAGACCAACCCCCATCTCGCTACAACCTCCTTTCAAGTAGTTGTAATGAGAGATAAGGTTGATTAGATCAAGCGTAACTTTGCCTTACACCCAAAACCTCTGTGTGAAACAGGTTATAAATGCAACTCACTGTTAGCCTTTAGAATTCTTACCACCAATTTCAAATTAACAAACTGCCCCTTTAAAAGCTGAGCCATCAAGTCATAGTTGAGTCTGGCTGTGGCAATGGAAATGCCAGGTCTGGATTATGGATAAAGAGGGCTGCAGAATCCATACGGCCAACAACAACTAAATAGCGCATCTCTTTCTTTGATTTAAGCTGCCTAAGTAGGAGATACCAGCCTGTGATAAAGTAGAAATATAAATTCACAAGACACAATCACAAAAAAATAAAAATTAATCAAAGACAGCCAAGCTTTGCCAGTAGTTGGTACAGCCACTAATAACACTCCTATGGAAAAGCTGTCAAACTACATACTGTTCTTTGTGTCTCCTGTCTGCCAAGCTCAAGATTTTCCATGATCAGAGACAAGTTATTGAAAAGTGGAAAGGGCACATACAGGGGCAAAATAAAGGGTTAAGAGTTTCCAGGTGTGACTTTAAGGTATTTCATTGCTCTCATCCAACATAGCAAAAATCTATCTCAATAGATTCTGTTTGCCTAAAGATAAGCCTGTATTTTCCCCATGGCTGAGCTGGAGTCTGAATAGAATACCCTGTTTGAAATACCATTTCCTCAGTGAAATGGTGCCATTCACTTCAGGAACATTTAGCATTTCCAGAGCGTTTCTGCTTTGAATATCTACCCCACACATCCAGTTTTTTAACCAAATAATCAAAACCTTTTTTCAACTGTTTCTAATACTTTCAAAATAAACAGCTCCATGGATTGCAGGCATGAAATCAGCAAGATTCTCTGAGACATTTGGTAGGAGTACAGATTGATTGTTAAGTTTTCTTTATTTTTCCTTCTGTCCAAAAACAACACCCATAAATCCATAAGAATATGGGATTATCATTTAAGTAGATATATGATATGACGTATATTTAAGCCCAAGGAAAAGCAAATGTGCAGTTGCAAACAGTCCCTATTTTGTAATCATGCCTTATTATTACACATCTCTGAACATCCATGCCACCCTGAATCGCCTCTCAAACACCAGCCCATTCTTAAACATCATTCATTTCTTTATTACTTCTCGCAACTTAATAGAAACTAAGCAATAAAAACTTTAGATGCGTTCTTCAACTCCTACAGGAAGAAATCAGTTTTTCAAAACAATCCAATAAAGGAGTATCAAGGCAAAATCTCAATATTGTCTTGAAAGAGAATTAAATGACTGACATGCTCTATTTTTTCTAAATATCTTACCCACAGCTGCCACTTATTGCATGGTTTGCAGTTCTAACAGTGTTTAATTTTAGAGGTTGATAAAGCTGAATCCCACTAGTTCTGATGTAGTAGGGATACAGGCATTACTGCAAATCCGAAGTACGTATTTCACATTCCTCTGGGTGTTCATTCTCTCAAAACCAGAGTGAAGAATACAGCCAAATGTTGCCCATGCACCTGCACATGAGCCATATGCCCACTTTATTGTGAGTGTCTGAATTGCCACTGAGAATTAAATGATAATACTTTGGGGAATTAAAAAGATATTTTAGCTGTAATTTTAAAGAGATTTTTCTTTTTCGTCTGATTATTATTGTCAAGAACATTAGCCTTCC